TAATTGCTCATGTAGTTTTTTTGGGATTCTAAGTTACAAAATGACCTCATTATATCCATTATATGCTGATGAATGTACAACAATCACAAGATTGATAGAAGGCTCCAGGCCCTACTCTGGCTCTATCATCTTTCAGAATGTGGTCAGTATCTTGGCCAAGGATTGGCAAGACAGATTTACCATGAGCACAAAGCTGGAAGGGTCGAGGATAAATTGTGTATCAAAATCTAAGCAGGTTCTGAAGACCACATAATAAAGCACATTTTATAGGATTGATTATAGAGGGAATGTCAAGTGGGAAATAATATAGCTTCAGTAATTGGCAGAGAAGTTGTGCAATGTGAATCTGTGAGAGACTAATTGCTTTTGTTTGTGTGAAGTAGCTGCCAAAAGCACTGCTGGATACCTTAGGCTGTGTCAACTGTGGTGACAGCAATAAAATAATTCATTCCTATGTTGGGCCTCAGTCCCCTCCAACACTGTTTTAAATGATCATGTTCTGTCTTGGTTAGTATGCTCTGAGATTAAACTTCACATCGTGGAACAAGTCCACATGATGTGAGGTAATTAATGAAAAGATTTGCATTCATGCCCTGTGCCCACTGCAAAGATGAAAACAGGGGATTCCAGGGATACTTGGATTGACTGAGATTGCATAGCTAATGTTAAATAAAAATTATAGAAGTCCATTGCTATTTATATATCTATTGTTTATTTTGAGACAAAATCTTGCTACATAACTGAAACTGGCCTGGAACTCACTATGTACTCCAGGTCAGCCTCAGACTCAAGGCAATCCTCTTGCCTCAGCTTCCCCAGTGCTTTGATTACAGGAGTGCACCACTATACCTGGCCCCATTGCTATTGACTAAGTTTATGCACTGGGCTGCCATACCCCAGACTAAAAGCCAAACTGTAGTCATTGGTGCTAAAGTTGTATGTCACCTCGCTGAAACTAAGTTATCCATCTGACCTTCCTGGGGAATTGAGGAGCAGACAAGTTTTAAGTGACATGATAGTGAAATTCTTTCTGCTTTGATTTTTTCACATAAAAATTAACCAATCTGTTATTTTCTGTTATTCTGTCTCCTTGTTCCTGTATTACAAGCAAAGCAATTTTGAGTCTACTTCTGTTTTTATATTCCTCAGTAATTTTCTATCTATAAAACCAATCTCCTCCATTCAGCACATTGAAACACTTATTGTATGCTATGGCATGAAATGTTACCCAATTCTAGAACAGAAAATAAAGCCAGTTAAGATCTTTAAATTTGGCTGGGTGTAGTGGTGCATGCCTGTAGTCCCAATACTTTGGGAGGCTGAGACAGAAGGAGCACAAATTCAATCCCAGACTGGGCAATTTAACCAATCAAAAAGCCCCTCTCAAAAACAAAACAAAATGGAAGCTAGGAATATAGCTCAGTATGAAGATCTTGGGGATTCAATCCCTAGTACTATACACACAAAATCTTTAAATTGTAATTTTGTCTTCTGACACAAGTAAGTGGTGTAGCTCAAGCATCTAACTCTGGCATTGGAGTCCAGTGCCTTCTTAGCATAACATCTCCTTGTCTTCTCCTTCCTCCTCCAGACGCAAACATTTTTTATTTGATTTAGAATATGCAGATGTCTACATCAAGTGAATTAACACTTCACTTCCCCTAAAGACTGCTTTACCTTTTTATGTGCAGAAACTCCATTCCACAGAAGTAGTTCTTCCTTTATTGCCAAAGCTGAGTGTGACTTACTCACATTTTTCCTTTATCTTCCTCTTGATAATCTGCCTATTTTCTTTCCAGTACTGGTGATTAAACCCAGGGCTTTCTGAGTTACATTACAGCTCCCCTGACCCCACTTTTACTTTTTATTTTGAGACAGTCTTGCCAAGTTGCTAAGCTGCCCTGGTGGGATTCAAACTTGTGTGGTCCTTCTGCCCCATTCTCACAATGTACTGGGTTTAGAGCCGGTATTTACCACTGTGCCATCTATAACTTGTTTGTTTGTTTGTTTGTTTTTTGGTACTGAGGATCGAACTCAGGTTCTTGTGCTTTCGAGGCAGGCATTGGAACCACTGACCTAAATCCCTAGCCACTTATGTCTTTTTTGCCACTAAAATCTAAGCTCTAGTGGAGCTGGCTGTACCCAGTCAACATAGTCTCTTCCAGCTCCCTTGTGGTTTGGCCAACTCTTATACTTTGACCACTCATTCTTTATTTTACTGATTCATTCACAAATATTTTTGGAGTTCCTACTATCAAGCTTTATTCTAAGTGCTAGGATATTATAATGAGCAAAATAAAACAAAACAAAAAATCTAATCTGAATAATACTGGTGAGAGGGACTGCTAAAATTAAAAGGGAAAATCTATAAAATCAGATAATTATAACTATTGTTAAGAAAAATCAGGTTAATGGATTCACTGGGATGCTGGATAAAAGACTTCTTAAAGACATGGTCAGGGAAGACTTTGGACATGGTGATGTTTAAAATATGTGAATGAGGGATTTGAATAATGTGAATATTTGAGGGGGTAGTGATAGTAAGAGAATAACAAAATGATAAGACTTTGAGGTGGGATAGGCTTGGTGTAATTGAAAAGAAGCAAGAAGACCTGTGTAATCTGTGTAATTGGAAGGGAATGAGCTCTCATGATGCTTTCTGGTTGTGTTAGCTTTATACGACTATGACAAAATAGCAGATAATTATAAAGAGAAAATTTATTTGGGCTCACACTTTTGAAGGATAGAATCTATGATTGGTTGTCCTACTATTTTGGGCCTCTGATGAGGCAATGCACCATGGCAGGAACAAATCTGTGAACCTCATGGACAAGGGGCAAAGGGAAAATGGGAGAGACCCGAAACCCCAATCATCTTTGAAGCACACCTCCAATAACCTAAAAATCTCCCACCAGCCCCACCTCTTTGGGAGCCTCATCTCCAAAAAGTGCCTGAGGATGAGCATTTGGAGTATGGTTCAGATCTAAACTATATCACTAGTATTGAAGTTTCTAACATGTGTGCTCTGTGGCTGCAGATCTGTGTTAATCCCAGGTGTTCAGTAGCAGCTGTTTAGAACTGCATTCTAAGGACTAAATTGATATACATAAAGTCTACATTTTAATGTATATAATATGCCCAGCTCATATAAATTATACATTGGATGTAAATAACAGTTCCTAATATAGTGCTCTAGAAGTTTCTATCATTGTCATGATAATTATCTCTGTTCTCTTGAAAATTAATGGGTAGATTAAAGGTCTTTGGAAATAGCTGTTTTCAGTCCTAAAAAGAATGATTTATTTTTTATTTTTTATTTTTTGGTACTGGGGATTGAACTTGGGACCTTGCACTTGCAAGGCAGGTGGTGGTACCACTGAGCTAAATCCCTGACCCAAGAATGACTTTTGCTACTTCTACTTTCTTGGTTGTACATTTGAATAACTGGTTGTACATTTGAATAACTGGGAAATTTTCTTAGGTAATTTCTTACTGAAAGAAATTACTCCCACCACATGGCCAGAACATAGCCTGGCTTGTCTGTATATTATTTCACAGGTTCTGTTTTCATGTCTGGATTCAGGGCAATGCACATTTAAATTTAATATAAAAGGAATGCAACAACCATACTATTATTGATGCTGGTGGTAGTGGCAAAGGTGGTTATAACAGCTAACAAGTGTTGAGAGTTAACCACTGGCCAAATCATTTCCAGGAATTTTCTCTCAACCCTTATAACCTTATGAGGTAGATAGTACATTAAATTCTTTATTGGCTGAGGAAATGGAAAATTAAGAATATTTATGTAATTTCTCCCATGATAGTAGGAAAGGGAACCATTTGCGTATTAATTTGTTGTGTTCTACAACTTGAGAAATGTGGATAATTCAAAATTCATTTTTTCTTTGATTTACATCTTCTCAGCCAGATGTGGTGATGCATATAGGTACTTGTAATTCTAGGCCTCTAGGAGGCTAAGGCAGGGAGATTGCCAGTTTAAACTACACCCTAGGTAGAAAAAAATAATAAAATAAAAAAATGAGCTGGAGATATAACTAAGTTCAAATGCCTTGGGTTTGATCCCTAGTAAAATTCACATGCACACATAACACAAGTGCATGCACAATTGCTATGGGGTAATGTTTGAAAGGTATAAAGGATAGGATAAAACTGGAAAACATTGTATTTTCTTGAATCTGATATTAAAATTAATTTTCTAATCTCTGTAAACACAGTACTTGGGCCACGGGAACTGAGTACAACAAGAAAGTGTTTGGAAGATGCCAATAATAGGAACCAGATTTGAATTTTATTACATATGGTAGAATATTAGTAGAATATTGGACCACTTAAATACATTTCAGATTGTAGAGCCCAGCTGGAATGCTAAGGACCAGGGTTATCCTTTGCAAATGGTGATTCTTATGTATATATTTATATATTTATGTCTTCCTGACATCCAGGCTCCTGTCAGTTGGTCTATGATGATATTTCATACTGTTGGATTTTAAGAATCCCAACTCTTAATCTTGACCTGCCATCCTGGACGCCATATTTGTTTGGAGGTACAAACAAATATATTGCATTATATATCTTTAGTTATGTATGTCTTTGACTAAATTTTGTAGAAATGTTCACATTTTCAGTAAATTGCCCCAGACCACTTTTTATTTAATATTTCTTTAATTTTTTCTTCCTCTGTCACTTTTGATGCATTTGATGGGTTATTTTCTGAGTTAATATCTGAAATTTGTCAAATATCAACTTTGATAATGAAGAAGAAATTCCTGGGCTTTGTGATTATTCCTTTTTTTTGTGAGAGAATGTGGCACTGCTGGCTTTTCATCTTATTTTTGATATGGTTGTTGTTGTGAGCTATAGTGTGACTTTCACAAACACAGTTGGCCATGTTGTTCTACAGGTTAGGATTTGAAATAAACTAAAAGGGGAAAATACAACTAAAAATATTTATTGCAGAAAATAAAAAGTTAACCAAAGTATTTTATTGATACATTCTTGGACAATACCACAGAATTGAAAGAGAATGGAAAGAGGGAACTTTTCAGCAAGGATTTTCTTTTTCCACTAAATTGGCACATAAGCAGCAAGATTAACGAAAGTACTTATTACAAACAGTAAAAAACATACATGCTGTTTTTTAAAGTCCTTATCACACTGGTCAGTCAGAGGGGGCATGAACAAAACCTCAAGACATGAAAAATCCATATTCTTTCCTTCAAATAGCTTAATAATTATTAAAATTATTGCAAAATATCCATATACCCTAATTAAAATAACAAAAAGGAACACAAATACAAATATTGAACATAAATTATTAACATGTACTGTAAAATACATTACTAGCATGCATTCCAAAGATCAAGACCTCTATTCCATGTAACCAATGCTTTTCTTTTATGTAACTATCACAAACCAAATATAAGTGGGGCATACTTTCTCAGCACAGTTTTTGGTCTTTAAATATCTTTTTTGTCTTAAAAAAAATAGCATGATTTGCAGTGGCACTGTAACCATAATTATACAGTCATGTACAGATGTATGCATGTCTTTTTTTGTCTGCCGAGAACTTTAAAAATTTTAATTATTTTAAAATTTTCCCAAATATTCCACCATCTGAGAGAATAGGGTTCTATGAAAACAGGGCATTCAAAAACAAACAGTGGACCGAGGTACGACGTCAGATGGCAAAGTGCAAAAGTCCTCACAAACTGTACAGAAAATTTCAAAACCTTGCATCCTTGAAGGACATACGTAGAAAGACAGGTCAGCCCCACAATAGTCCTGTGGCTCTCCATGGTTCATCCTAAAGAGCCTGGGTGGGACTTGAGTCTCAACTCTCCCTTTGAAAGGGAAGGTCCGAAATTGCAGCCTCATTGGCAGTGCTGATGCCAGTGACTTATTAAGCCAAGATAAAGTAAGGATATTTCATAAAGCAGCTGTTTAGGACTCTTGGATCCTCTAACATTGGTCTCCCAGCTAGGGAAGCTCCTCCGGTGAGTGGAAGCAGGCAGGACCAAAAGAGGCCTATGCCAGGTTGGGTGACGGAATAACTGAGGGTCCTCCTCCTCCATGGTTCCATGGAATGGAACAGGTTAGATAACCAGGTTATTATAACTGACATACTTCTTTTTTGCAGCAGGGCCTGAAAAAAAAAAAAAAAGAGTCAGTTGCAGCAGTGACCCTTTTTTTGCACAGGTAGATGTAGAACTAGAACTGTGACAACCTGTGGCACAAGGTCAAGGTGGGATGCGGCACCTTGGAGGAACACATACAACTTTGGATTCTTCTGATTATTTTGACTTTGTTCATTAAAATCTGCAGTTCTCAGTGATACTTAAACCATTTCAGTTCTTTTTTTCTGAGAGGCATCCAGCCTCCCTCTTCTTGGTTAGTAAGGTTAGTAAATTTATCAGTGGTTGTTACACATTTTTTTTTTTTGGTAGTATCAGAGATCGAACTCAGGCCCTTGTGCTTGAGAGGCAGACGCCAGAACCATTGAGCTAAATCCCCAGCACGGTTATACTTTCTAATTAGCCAACCCTAAGCTTAAAGAGTCCATCCATATTGCATTATGTTTCAGCATATGATCCTTTCCAAGACCTTTTCATAACAAATGTCTTATGTTTGGGAAAGGTTTGTCTTGGGTCACTGGAATTAATTTCAGTTGACAAGAGGTAAGGTCAGCCAGAATGCCTTCTCTAGTTCTCAGTCACAGAGTCAAATGACTGTAGATCTAATTTTATAGTGTTTTCATCAGTACATTTAAAATGGTAATTTGCAAAACTATTTTGATTACAATTTGACACTCATTTAAATCTGCCAGGTGTCTCCACATGCACAGTCTGCCCCACCCCCACTTTAACATGTAGAACAAATTATTTTTTTATTTAGTAGAGTGACCAAAAGCCTCCTCCTAGTAGTAAATATGTGTCAGTGACATCTTCTATGGCAGATATAGGATTAGATACTGAAGAAGGGTGCATAAGAATTTAGAGGAACTGAGAAGCTGCATTAGCAAACTAAGACAGTTTTATCTGGCCTTCCAGTGAAGCTTCCAGTATGGTATAGATACATTTATGCACAATACATTTTTCAAAACACCATGCACTGTTTTAAAAGATTGATCTTATATTTTGGATTCAAAAGTAAGACTTTCTCTCTGAGGAATTCCAATTGGAAGGCTCCCTCTCTGTTATGTTACATCTTATTAAGTCAAAATGAAAGGAAAGGTAGACTTATGTAAAATTGAGGATCTCTTAAAAAAATCTGGTCGTGATATTTCAGTCATGATGTATTTTTGCTTGATAACTTCATGGCCTCAATTCAATAATGCTCAAGTCTTCTGAGAAGTCTTCTGTGTTACAGTATTTGGTCTTCAACAGTACGCTTGCTTTGGATACAAGGGAAAACCCTTCTAAAGGTATCTCTTTTTTTATAGTGTCATAGTGAGAAAACCTCAGCTGACATTTGCAAATCGTAGTTATATCATGATTTGTCAAATGCCAACCTGCTAATTTTCCTTAAGATCAAAGGGGAAATAAAGGAAACAAGGAGCCTGGAAGCTTGTACTAATCTAAATATCTGAGACTGACTCTGTTGTATGACTCTTTAAGACTGTTTTTCGTATAAGTGTAACTGTCTAGTAGAAAAGAGTAATTGATATTCCTTTAATGGGTTACTACAGTGCACCAGTCACAAAGGAAGAGTCTGTAATGAAAGAATAATAAGTTAGTAAATAATATCCCTACGTTGTGCACCAGAGCACTGCTTTGATCAAAATAAAATCAAGACCAAGTCATTTTAAAAGTTAAAAGTTATGTTTTGTAGAATACAGTGGAATTTTCTGACACTGCATGGATGACCTTCTTAGGTTCTCAGATAGCCAACAGATGAATCCCATTTGTAATCTCCATTGTACATGAGAGGGAGGATCTCAGGCTTAAAGGATGCAGCACTGTTAGACCTAGGCTGTGCCATACTTGAGTCTGCACTTTACTCTTTAGGTCCCAATAGGAAGCCCATGCTCTTACTGGACTTTAGGCTCTGATGGAGATCCATGGTGTGATTAGCCCACTGCCATGACGCTGAATTCCTTGGAGCCTTTATAAAATGGGAAATTTAATTCTTACCCTGTGTACTATTGATGACAGAAATGTTGGAATTATTCCAGTTTTTCATTGGGGAAAATACTGTCTAAATGTATTTTTAAGTTATAAATTTGTCTGCAAATGATAAGCCTTCTTATGTGCTTTCATGGCAAAATTATTTAGATACCTCCCAGCAAAATTATAATGCATTCCATGTAGTTCCAAAATGGTAATTTATGTACCATCCACAGCAGTGTCCAAAGTTTTATAATGTTTACTTCCAAAGGATTTTAGTCTTATGATTAAATAAAATAAGTGCCTATGGTTCCTGATATTTCTGTTTATTGGGATAGCAATGTTGTTTATAGTATAGGAAAGAAAATGGTTTAGTTCACAATAATTGTCCAATGAAATACATGTTAAAGAAATATACTTTTTAGTTTAGCAATAGCTAGATGTGTTTTTTAGTTTGTCTGGGTTTTTTTTTTTTATTTTGTTTTTTTTAGTTGATGTTTTAGCTTTTAAAGAAAACAGTTGTAGATGACATTGTTCCTATTAAAATAAAGTTTCTTGAAAAGTTGGTATCTACAATAAATGTAAAGGACACTGGTTTTCATAATTCATCTCTAGTGCACACTTGCTACTTCAGAAAGGTCAGATCTCCGAGCTTTTTCTTGGTATATTGTTAAAATGAACACTTGAGTTGATATTAACTTCAAGTTATGTAGTTGTATCCTTCTTAATTTTTTTTTCAATTTCACTTCTCAAAGTGTATTCTGTGGAACATTTGTAACCAAGATTAAAGGAAATACGGGGGAAAGAAACAATGGAAAAGGAAAAGAATCTCATAAATATTACTTTGGGGAAACACTGAATAAATAGGATGCTCTCTCAGCCCACTTTTAATTTCTTTATTTTTTAATAATATGAAATGTTATAGTATATTAACTATATGGTATGTGCCCTGTAGAAGTGTTCTGTTTTTGTTTTTTTTTTTAAGTTAACTGTATAGCAGGGCATGGTGGTGCACACCTGTAACACCACCACTTGGGAAAGCTGAGGCAAGAGGATTGCCTCACATTCAAGGCCAGCCTAGGCCACAAAGTGAGTTCAAGGCCAGCCTGAACTACAAAGTAAGACCCTGTAACAACAACAAAAAGGTTAAATGTGTGTATGTAGATGTATATGTATGGAAGTATATATGTGAAGTGATTCAAACATCCATAAAAGGTAAAGCAAAAAGGTATATCATAGGGCCAGGATTTAGCTCAGTGGTTCCACAGCCTGCCTTGCAAGCACTAGATCCTGAGTTTGATCCCCAGTAACAACAACAACAACAAAAAGTATATCATATCCCTGAATATAACACATGTAAGTATATTGACATCTTATATTCCTATCTACGATACACAGATGGGAAATAAATACAGTTGAATTCATCCCCACTTCACCTCCACCTCAGTTCTTCCCTCAACCCTCCACAGCTACTGCCTTGAAGGTGACACATGTTGTGCTGCTATTTCATGTTTAGTTGCTGATAACTATAGATAGTACTGATTTATGTGTCTTAAAACATACCAAAGATTATCTTTCTTTATGGCTGAGTAGTACTCCATAAAACACATCTGTATCCATTCATCAGTTGAGCGTTTGGGCTGTTTCCAAGATTTAGCTATTGCAAACTGTTCTGCTATAAACATTGGTGCATGATATCACCGTGGTATGATGCTTTTTAGGTCTTTTGGTTAAATACCAAGAAGGGGGATGGCTGGGTCAAATGGAACCTCCAATTCTAGTGTTCTGAGGACTCTCCACACTGATTTCCACAGTGGTTGCACCAGTCTGCCCTCCCACCAACAGTGGATAAAGGATTCCTTTTTCCCCACACCCCAGGCAGCATGTATTATTGATTTCTTGATAATACCATCCATTCTGCGGTGAAATAGAATCTCAGCATTAATTTACATCTCTCAAATGACCAGTGTTGTTGAACATTTTTTCATGCATTTATTTGCTGTTTGTACTTCTTCATCTTCATCTGGGAAGTGTCTTTTCATTTCAGATGCCCATTTTTGGATTGGGTCTTTAAATGTGTGGGGTCTATTTTTTTATGTTCTTTATATATTCTAGATATTGACCATTTGAGGAAGAGCTCACAAGCTTTTTCCCGTTCATTTTTCACTTAGGCATCCAAAAAATATTCATTGAGCACTACTATTTGGTGGGCTCTATCCTAGATATTGGAACTATTCAGTTTTCAGCAGATAGTTTTAAATTATATTAGACATTTAACAAGTAGAAAACAAAACTAAAGCCAGAAACAAAATAGAGCTCAGATGAAGTCTCCACGATGTGAGTTTGCAACTCCTTGATACCATTGGCAGTTTCTCAAGTTCATTTAATTGTACTGCTCCCTGTTTTTTCCTCCCTTTTTAGTGACTCCCTTTATACTACACAAGAGCACACTTTGAAATTCATGTAATATTTCTTAAATCTTGATCATATCTCCTTAGTCTGTTGTGTGTCGTGAAGCTCAACAAACTTGGGAATATTGATTTATTACTAGATGAAACTTTGTCTAAATTAATTTTTCTATGAAGTCATTTAAAGTACTGTGTGTGCATCCCACTCCTCCCTTACCATTTACTTGTTGACCATGATTTTTTGTTCATAAATACTTTAACTGAGAGTGATTCTTCATATTATGGTGTGCAGTTACTAGGAGTAATTGCTTCTGTTATCAGTGGTTAGTTTCCTGCTTCTTTATTTCATTTGTTACCTGCCTTTTAGCCCAGCACTTAATGGGAAAAGAGATGTTACCTTCAACTGTTCTCACTTGAGAATTTACAAAAAGCTAGAAAACACAGTATTTTGTTCAGAAAAAGTAATTTATTTGGTTGTGGTTTCCCCTTTTTAAAACTGATTAGACTAGCACATTACTTAGCCAACAGTATGCAAAGCTGAACAAGAAGGAACATGATTACCAAAGAATGAGGCATTCAGTTTTGTCAGTTTGATTCTAAACTAAAAACCTGCATCTCTCCTGCTCCCCCAC